TGTTTTGTTTTTTTAACTGGAAAATTTCGGCCCTGACCTGCGTCAACATGCTATTGTCGAAGTAACTAACACCTTGTATCTTAGCAACTGCTGAAGAGAGAGGAAGTGGAGGTGCTCCTGCCATTACGCGACCATGTGACTGGAGAGTGTTGGTAAACAAGAGCAGAAACAGGGAGGGAGGTACTGCAGGGCGATGGGAGTGGAGGTTTTGTTCTGAACAACCATTTAACACATGTTGGGTAATCGGCTTATTCACGATCTGGAAGAGAGTCCGATGAGAACACCGAAAACAATCCTCATGTCTGTTTGGTTACATGTGCAGAAACACGGGAAGCAGGGAGGAAGCAGCTGGCCCGCCTCCATCGAAATGCAGCAAAATGTGCACAATCAGCACCTAAAGCTCATTACCGTTTGCCCAAAAACCTCTTTACACTGAAGCGGTGTTATGAGACACACTGACACTTACATTTGTCTATTTTGTGTCCACAAGGTCTCCAGCTGACTACCTTTGTTCAGATTTCAGCACTATGCTCATCAATTCTGATTGTCTTTTGATCCTTTGACCTTCAGATTTGTTTAGCAAAGCGCACGAGATGTTTTTAGAACTAAAAAGACGTGCAGGTTTTTAAGCTGCTGACATTAGAAGGACAAAGTCATTTGTGGTTTGGGTGCAGCACAATAAGACTGCTGGACCGCCACGTCCTGCATTAGCAACATGCTTTTCCTGTTAGGTGCTCGTCAGTGCTGCATAAGGACAAAATTAAACATTTTCATTAGATATGGTGGTTGTTTAGACTTTTACTGCCACAAGACGCATTTTAAAACTATGTGGGAACGATTTACAGAATGGTGTGCTCTGTTTTTGCACAAAAAGGAATGAGGATCACAGATACAAGTGGCAGAAATGAGCTTCCTCCAAACAGTGTCTGTGTTCAGGAGAATCATAGCTAGGTATTCTCTTTATTGCTGTTGGGCAGACGACATAGAGGGATGGCTGCGTGGACTATCAGATTAAAGGACAGCTTTTATTGTCAAGCTATCAGACTCCTCAAAAGCAACACCTGACACTTCCAATGGCTAGATGGAAATTTTATGTGCTGTACGTTTTCTGAACGAGACAATCATGCTGCCAATAAAGGTCATTTAAAAAAGAAACAGCAGTTATAACAGCAGCTTTGTTTTCTGTAGCAGCTCAGTCTCACTTTTTATCATCTTTAAACCTGATACTGTCCCACTGTATTATGTCTGTGAAGGTTCTCAGTCATCCAGGTCAATATAGTCTAAGGAGCTTGGAAGGAAGGAAGAAAGGAAGAAAGAAAGAAAGAAAGAAAGAAAAGCATCTTTTCACACAAGCGTCTGAAGACATTTCACCTCTCATCTGAGAAGCGCCTTCAATTCTAAGGTCAAATGGTAGGGAATCGCAGATTTAAGCCCTACAGCAAATGCATACCTTGAAACTAAGCTTACCCTAATGAAATCAACAGATTATGTATTTAGATTTTACACAATGAGAATACACTTTTCAAGTGTTTCCAAAGCCCGAGCTCTTAGCTCTCTTAAAATCAGCTGAGTGCTTCTTTAAGTCTAAATACTTTAAATGTATCTGGGTACCATATTCTGCATCCTTGTCTCGTTGCTTCTAGTTTTGGCAAAATGGGAATTTAATGAATCATATGACATGGAGACAAACGAAGGAAGAGAAAAACAGAGACTGCTAGACGTCTGCTGTCTGAGCAGACAGCTGTCTCCTGTTCACTTTGTGTTGTCATCGTAAATCTGTCTCTCACACACACACACACACACACACACACACACACACACACACACACACACACACGACCAAAGCCAGATACAAGTAGGGGAAGAGAATTATACTGAGGTAAATTAAATCAAAATAGAGTCCAGTGAAGCCTTGCCATGATGGTTTAGTCCTCTAATAAATCATATCTTACAGGCGGTGGTCCCAGGTGCTGTCCTGTGTCAGTTTATGAGAACACTTAAGGGCTGTCTCCACACACAAGGGTATGCTGTTTAACCAAAACAGACTGACAGCAGCAGTGAGTGTGCGTCACATAGAAATACATCTTTTTGGGGAATGATTTATCATTTGCTGATCACTGCAAAGTGCACCAATGGAGATCTTTGTGGCATTTTAATGGAATTATTTGGCTAATAACAAGGTTTGCTACAGGAGACGGTTCATTCAAGAAGGCTTCTACATCAGGTTTTTTTTTTTTTGAGTATTTTACTTGTCTGTCAATTAGCACTTATTAGCAATAATCTATGTATATTGCCCATACACATGTAGTTTGCCTACTAAGATTTGTAGAATTAGCTAACTTAGCCTTCCACCCTCTCATCCAACAGCAGTGTTCAGGCTTGTAAATGTAGCCCAGAAACATTTTTTTGAACAGTACGTGTTGTTATTGTTGCGTAAGCAGCAGATGCAAGTTTGCTCCTGTGAAATACAGCATCCTATGCAGAACATGAAGGCTAATGTGAAGATTTAATTACATAAATTATCCCACCAAACACATTCAGAACACCTGGAAGCACAAGTTAGATCAGAGGATAAAGCAGGTGTTGAAGTTCAATTATTTTCTAAGCCTTTTATGATCCTGGAGGAGAAGACTTTACTGTGCCAGCATAATCTGCTCCTGCATCATTTTGCTTTATACTTGTAGTAGACACAGTCACCTAAAGACCTGCTCTAGTATCGCAACTGAGGAAAAGATTGTGCTCTTCTTCTGCTCTGTTTGTTATGTAATAGGAGATATAACCACACCTTACAGTATCCTGAGCTTTTGGCACTTTTTTAACATGAGCATTGCACAATAATATGTCAGACTGCCTTTGAGGAGCTGATAAGATACCAACAAACAAGTAATGTTCATGTTTTTCTAAGCTACATCAACCAATCCTGTGTCAGTTTTGGGAAGATGCAAACTAAATATCCCCCCCACTGTGTGCCAACCCACACATCCAGCCTTTTCCGCATGGATTCATTTGACGTTATCGGAGTGAAAACAGGCATTTCCACAACAGCACGATGTGCCAAGCAGGCCGAGGTCATATATTCTTCCGTTTTTGTTTTTGTCCTGCTCTGCACACTGGACCAAAAAGATTTACTGCGTCGAAATGGTCAGAAAACGGTGACCACATTAACGTCGGTTACTCCGTCTCAGCTTCTTTCCTGCGATTGTTTGACGTTTTATGTTATAAGCCTATCGCAGTAGTTTCAGGTTTAAAAAAAACTGTAAAAACATAAAAATAACCTCAGAAGGGTCCTGGCTATGTTAGTATATCCATTTAACACAGAGACACCCTGCAGTGTATATTTTTAAATGAGAAAACATGCCTCCATCTTTATTCTATTAATAATGACTGCACCGATGGAACGATGCGAATCAATCAGCCGTCAGTCAACCACATTGTCTCTTCAGTAAACACCATTAAGGAAATTGAGAAGCTGTTAACCTTTAACCCTCCCGGAGCTTCTTCTGCAGTCCTCTGTCACTTAACTGACTAAATCCCGACACAAAGGCGACCCCAAGTAACCTTGGATGACCTCTCATTTAGACCACTGACGGATGTGTAACAGATATTGCCTTCAATGTTTTCCTGACTGCAACAGTTATTATTACCATCCCTGTGTGCCTGTTAACTCTAGCTCGGGGAGATTTAAGTGATCAAACAGAGTTTAGATTAGGAGTCTAACGAAAGTGTTTTGCAGCCTGTTTCCAAAAAACATAATGCAATCATTTGTAAATCATTTTAATGCTATAGTTTAATGAAAAAATGCATGCAAGTAGCAAAAATGTATGCTCATTTTCTATTTGAAAATTAAAAACCTGAGACGGTAAAGAATTTAGGGACGAGTCTGAAAGCCAGCGCTGAGTGGACTCAGGTGGTATTTTATTAAAAACAGACGTATTTCTAAAGTGGAAATCACCACAAGGACTCAGCAACACCTCTGGAACCCATCATCAGTGAACACAGTTTGCTGCTGAATTCTAATTAAAACTGTCTGGATTGATAATTTGCGTAAATTCTTATTAGTGCCTGAAGCTAAGTGACCTATTCCAACTGTTGTGAAGAAGTACATGTATAACATGTGCTGGTGGGGGCTTTGTAAGGTGTGTATTCCACATTGTAAATGGGTGTATTTTAACCATAACTCAGTAGCTTTTGCTCAAAACCGTAACAAACAAGTGAAAGCAAAAACTTTCCAAGGAGTTTCCCCCCAAAGTCAGGTGTGTTTATGCCTCTGTAGTCGTGCCTGCCTGCTCCGAATATGACACTTCTTGGGACCTAAAAGTGGAAATGCTCCTTCAGGTGTTCGTCGTATAGGTAGTTTCAGAAATGGTAACATGGTTCAGACTGTAGAAGCAGGGAATCAACTCAACTGTTTAGTATGAGGACTTCTGGACAAAATGCACACTAGTATGGATAACAAGATCTGCTTTCTTGTCTGAAAATCGAAGTATGTAAGTCTGACCAATCAAAGTGAGCTGAACATATTTTTGTTTGTCAACTCTCCCAGAAATGGTAGGTCAGACTGTATATGAACCTTGGACCCTGAAAATATTATCTTAACCACAAAAAAGGAGGATTAAGATAAGATCTCATATCTTACCGCCTTTTAACTACAAAACAATGCTTGGCTCGGCTCACATAGGCAACAAACTGAAACTCTTTGAAATGCTTTCTAGCTAAGTGGTAATGAGTGCAAATATTAGACAATTTTTACAATTTTATTGTTTTGTTTTTATTGCTTTAACATTATTATTGTGTCTAAAATAGGTCTCTTTTAAATGAGACTGAGTCTCAATGGGATTACCTGTATAAATAAAGGTTAAATAAAAAAAAGAAAGATACTAAAGGTAGGCTCATCAACAAAAACCGTTAACCGAGCATAACTCTGCTTGAATTCTGTCATCATCACGAGGAGAGCTGCTGGGGTGAGTCCTGATGTGGGTGCTTCAGGACAGGTGACTGACCTCGGCAGATGAATCCGTCTTGGATGATGGTTTGTTTGCAGACGCTGCAGTGCTTTGCCTTCTTGAAAGTCTTCACCCGGAACGTGTGGGAATGAAGAGCCTCCAACTCCTCTGGCTGCAGTCAGGAAAACAACAACAAAAGACAAAAGAGGAGGAATGTTAGTTTAAAAAAAAATGTTGCAAGCTTCACTGAGTCCAGGTGGCGTGAGTCATTGAGCGGTATTTTTGTGCCCAGAAGATCATTCAAAACACAAATGAAATCATTTTATAAGCTAGACAATACTGAATCTGTAAAGTCAAACTGTAAATCATATATCAATCCTTACATTCATCTCAGGAGCAACCCCTCCTCCAGAGGCAAATCATTACAACTAAGTTATTTGTGCTTAAAAACTTTGCTTCAAAGTCCTCTAAAGTCCTCCCAGGAAGTAAAGCTGTGGGGGTTTAAGCTGTCAGAAGCAAACAAAAAACGAAAACACTGTCTTATCTCCTGTTTTTCTTTCTTTCAACCACCTCCTACTCCTTTCTCCTCCCCACATTTGACCTGTCATCTCTTTGCCCTCCTTTGCAGGTGTGTTACACAACTCTGGAGAAACTTTATCTCCCAGGCCTGTTAAACATCCCCGAGTGTCTGTCTGCAGCCTGCTGTTTTTCCTTCACCATGTACCATCCAGCGTCCAGCCCTTTTCCTGTCGGCTTTGTAAACGCAATTTAAGGTCGTGACACACACCAAACACAAAAGTGAGACCGACTCCTGCAGGGTCTTTATGAGAAACGTGCGTCATATTTCCATAAGCCCCCCCCTCTCCCAAAATGTTCAATCATGGGAAACGTGACATAATTTTTGTTGTTTATTTGCTCAGCTGGTCTCAGTTTGTGTCTTAAGGGAATAACAGCTTAACGGATTATACTGTTAAAGACACTTTTATATTTAATTAGAAAAGGCTGAAATGCATTGGGCAAGAACTGCAAAACAAACTTACACAACACTGACAGTATAGCACCATGTAATACCTCTGCAATCCTACTGAATTTTTCTCTATAAGCGTCTCCATGCACGTGTAGGATTTTTTCATGCATCTAAGTGCCTCAACTCTACATACCTTCAGTACTGGGATGAAAGAGAGAAAATGGATGCGTTTTCAACACAGGAAGTGCCCGTTAGCATGGCGTTCAGCCATGAGGCTTCCATTAAGAGTGTGTGTCTGTGTGTGTGTGTGCGTGCACATGCCGGACAGGACTAAGTGACCATGTGGTTGGCATATTGGGGGACTTCTTGTACAGGAATTCTCAAACTAGAAGACCACAGAGACATATTGAGCATGTTAGAAGGAAACTCAAGTAGTTCCCTCTCTGAAAGAGCTGCCAGACCACCAACCATCACAACCTTAAAACCACTAATGCCCCCCTCAGTTTTTATTCTTCTCAGTCCAAACAGAAATCTTGTTGGAAGGCAGCGGAGTGAGAAATGACAGCACAGGAATAACGCTTCAATTATAAATCAAACTAAGTATCTGTTGGACTAAGTGTGTAGTCTGTTCCCATTTAACTGCTCTACAGTAAAGCTAACTGGTCATCAAAGTGCTACACTCCCTGTAACAACAATAGCTGTAATTTCTTTGCACTGTTAGATATGTAATTCCAGAGAGGTTTGGATTTACATGGTTTGGTTTTTAACAGTCTTTGCTAGATTTGTTCTGGTCTGTTTTGTACAACTAATAGGCAACATCAAAGGCATCATCGGAATTGTATGATTAAGCTTTCTTGGAACTTGATTTATATTAGTGATTTGCACTGTCTGAGCCTGGATTTCCTGTCATCTGGGAAGCAGTTAAAACACAAGCAGGTAATATTTCAGGTTACTCTCTAATATAACATTGAGTTCAACACTGCAAACGCTAAAATGACTCAACAAGACTTGACAAAGATTTAAAACCGGGGTCAGTGTTTAGGTATGACAGGTCTACAACATTTCCTTTAAAGGGCAAAAGCTGTTATTCTTGCACTTCCATGGACTCGGGGGAAATGTCGAAACTTGTTGATGTAGGTTTTTTACGATTTATCAGCATTTCCTGTCATACAGGCTCAATAGTATCATCCATTAAATATGGCTGACTGGCACAAAGACAGATGCAATTTTTTGGGTGTGAAACCTGAAGCCAGTGCAGAACTGCATGAAGCCTGCATTTATAACAGGCATCAGGGGTGGCAGAAACATCTATTGTCCGACAGAAGTCAGAAAACAGCCTTCAGCCTTGACCCTTAAACACTTTCCTGAAGAGTTTATGACACCAATCAATAACTTCTTGTCATATTAATAGAGTCCTTTTTGCAAATATTGGTCATTCTAGGCATCAGACAAGAACATCATCCAGGATATGCTCAAGAATTTGGGATTTACAAATCAAACAGCTTCACAGAAACATCCACACTTGCACGCACATCTGGGTTCAAAACGCCAAGATGTCAGTGATGAAAACACTCATCTCAAGTCTTGGGAACTCTACAGAAATACATGATTATCCATCCTGTCAACTTCCACATAGTGTTGAAGCAAAGATCCACCATATTAAAAGAAGTTTTAGCAAGATCGTAGTGTCAGTATGTTCTGGTAGCAGACATCTCTCTCCAGAGGTCTTAAAATATAACATTCAAAAGGCTGGCACTGTGAATAAGGCTTTACAGCTTTATGATGCATTACACTTTCTCAGAATTGATAGTTTCTCTGATTCACGAGCTTATCCAGAGGTTTAGCAACTTAAACATACTCCAACAGCTCTATGCAGAACTTCACTGTTTGTTTTTCAGAGCCGGATGGCAACAGCAGGACAGCCGACCCTTCATTCCATCTCCCGACTACGCCTTGCCACAACATAATGTGATTAGCTTAATCTAGTTAGACTGAAATAATGACCATGGCTGTGCAGGATGCACCATGTTGGCAAGGGGGCTTTTCTGAGGAGGAGTGAAGGTCCCTGGTTGGCACTCGTATGTATCTTGCCAAGGCCCTGGCTGCCACCTGCTGGTTTAACACTTTGGATATGGATTTAGAGTTTGAGAGGCTGGAAAAGCGTGATATGTGGGTTTAATCGTATGCTCGGTCACAGTAATTCAAGCATGTCTAAGCTTTGCCAAATTACACCAAATTTAATGGACACTGATACTGCTGGAATGAGGCAGGGCACAGATTACGTTTATACAGAAACATTGTTTTTACTTCCAGGCTGTTGGGGAATCAACTGTCAACATAAAGAGTCTATACTATCAGCAGGCAGGTGGCTGGAGGAACACCTGCCTTTAAATTGCTTTTTGTCAAATGTCTATTCTCAAACCACACAATCAAAAACAGTCATTAAGTCCTGTGGGGGCTACAATGACATCACCTGTTTTGGATGCAATTACCACAACGATACTTGGGAAAGGATGTGAGGCAGTAGTGTGCTCTTTAGTGAACTCTCATGTACTCTGCTTCCACTGGTACATTTTAAATTTCATTTAAAAAAAAAAATAATTATACATTGCATCATAACAATACAGTAAATTAAGCTAACAGTAAAAGAAAGCTCTCAGATGTCTCTAGTGAAATAAAAAAAAATGTGAAAAAATTACAGGAATCTGTTTTTAAAACAAGCCAGAATATCAAAACGTTAACATAAAGTAAAGCAGGTAACGTAAAAATAAATGGAAAATTAAATGTAACATGCTACAAACCCAGGTGTCAGTTGCTGGGGGGGGATGTGATCATCCTAATTCTCCCCACAAGTGAAATCCCATCACATGGTTATCCTCAATGAGAAGCCCATCATTTCCACTCAGGGCTACAGGTCTTTGTGTCCTGTTTTTACTCAGATTTTGATGCACATCTCCACAGCTTCAACATTACATGACACAAAAGAACATCACTCAGTAGTTTTTTTATTTTTGTTTGTTGGTTTTCTCATCAGCAAAAGTTCTACAGCGGAGCCAAAGCTAAAGGGTGACATGAAAATCCTGCAGACCACTGACTAGTCAGGGAGAAACACGACTAACGGGTGAAACACAGAACATCAAACTTGCTGGCTTCCTTTTCTAAAACCAGAATTCATCTCTTTGCTGTGGCATACAGCCTCCCACCAAAAAAGCCATCATTGTTTTATCATCCATCATTTCTGTTTACACTACCTTTCTGTCACGTTGGCTTCACACACCTATGATGACCCAAGTACCGTCTGCAGTGGAATAGAGAAGTTTGGACTCCTTTAAAAGTAGATGCCTTCTCCATGCACAAGGAAATTCATTTTAATAAATTTGGGAGTTCCTGTGGAGCTATAATCATGAACTAGGGATGGTCATGATGGTTACAAATAGTCATTAAACTATAAAAACAAATCTAATCTAAATCTGTTTCCTGTCATAAGTAGAGGTATTTTATAAGTAGAGGTATTTTTCTTCTCTCTTTAGTAATGAGACAATGTTTTGTAATTCCTTGTCTATAACAAACTCTCACTCTCTCTCTCTCCCTCTCTCTGACACACACACACACACACACACACACACACACACACCGCTGCACTGTGTTAAACAGGCAGGATGTCTCAATCCAGGAGTCTATTCAGCGGCCTCTTTGACCACTCCTGAGCCTTCTCACACTCTCCCAGCCCTCTATCCATTCACACACCAGGACTTAACCAGTCAGACAGCCAGGGTGGGGGGTGGTGGTGGTGGGGGGTTGGAGGTTACAGTCGTCCACTGTTATGCCACTTGTCTTGTTTGTACATTTTTATTCTCTGACTTCTGTGGGTAGAGCTGTTAAAATGAGGCTGGAGGAGTGTAATGTGCATAGAGGATACTCGAGCTGAAATTCTTTTGACTTTGAGAGGTTTAAATTTGCAGTATCACTCGAGTGCCAAGTAGTCCAAGACATCCTCCTTCACACAGCCACACAAAAGAAAGAACTCCTCAACACGTCCGTCTGTTTGAGTCCGCTTGCCCTCACCAGAAATCTGCGCTTCAGTCGTTTAACCCCAAAATGTAAATACGGTGCACAGCAATATAGCAGGACGCTCCCTTTTGTCAGCCCTTAATTGTTTCCGATCATTAGCGATGCACCCGGGGCTCTCAGACTTTGTTTATTGT